CTTAGCTAAACGATATACCCTATATTATTTGGCATATTTATCCACACACATAACAGTCTGGGGTAGTAGAAATTCTCTTTCAATAAGAAAAGAGCCCCGTCCATGTCAAAGTACACAGCAACACCTCTATTGTGACTCTCATGTAATGTAACCTCTGAACAAATTCTTGGAAATTCAGCCTTTTCTGGCAAACCCAACACAAAATCCATGCTCACATCCAACCAAAATGCCTTTGGAATAGGAAAGAGAGTGAACAAGCAAGTATTTTATTCTCAAGTCTTAGCTAAATGACATACCCTATATTATTTTGCATATTTATCCACATCTCATAGCAGTCTTGGTCGGTAGAAATTCTCTTTCACTAAGAAAAGAGTTTTTTCCATCTCAAAGTGCATCGCCATACCTCCATTGTGGCACTCATGTAATATAACCTCTCTGAATAAATTCTTGGGAATTTAACCTTTTCTAATAGAACAAGTAGCCATCTAACAAGTGAAACTACTCATATGATATGTTTTGACAACAATCCCAAATCTCCTGTAAATCCTCATCATTGACATACATATCCTTTAACATTTTAAATCAAATTACTTTTGACTACATAGTAGTGATCAAGAAGTGATGATGACTCGGTACATCTCTTAGTTTGTTTTGACTCCCTGCAATATGCATTAGCACAAAATAAAAAAAAAGAAAAGAGAAATTTCACGCATGAGGTATTTTTTCCTTCAGCTTACAACAGTTGTTCAATAGTCACAGTGTCATGGTCAATGTCAAGAATAAACTCATTTGTCAATAGATAATAACTAGAGTGACTAAAAACTCTCACTAAATCATATAACCTCGTGTCATAGGTAGAATAGTTTCTTCTATACTCATTCAACTTCTCACTTACGAAAGCAATAGAGTGTCTGTCTTACCTCAACCCAGCTTTAATTCCCATTTTAGAGGCATCACAGTCTAACCTTGAAGATTTAGTTAAAATCTGGAAGAGCTGAGCTAAGACCTAAGCATCTATTTTTTCAGAGCTTCAAAGCTACCCTATGTGTCATTTGACCACGTGAATTTATCTAACTCAAGAAGCTCAATCAAGGGTGTCGCAATTGGGCTAAAATTTTAGATAAATCTCTTGTCAAAAGATGTTAATCCATGACACTAGCATATCTAAGTAAACGACAGTTGTCTGGGCCAATTCACAATAGCCCCAATCTTCATTGTTTCAATCTCAATGCCTATTGCTAAAATAATGTACCTTAGGAAGCATGTCTACGGTGTCCGAAAATAATACTTCTTTGGATGGCAATACAGTTGTGTCCAAATAACTAATACATATCACAAGAGCTGCAAGTGTTCTTTCATTGAACGACTGTATACCAATATATCATAAAAATACACAAACACAAACTTCACAAAGAAGACTCACAGAAATTTGATTCATTAGCCAAATGAAAATGCTTGGTGTATTGAAGAGACCAAAGGGCATGATTATCCACACATACAATCAATCTCATGTTTTGAAACTATCTTCCACTAATCTCTTAATCTCACCCTAATCTGTTAGTAACCAATGTGCAAGTTGATCTTACCGAAAATACTTACTCCATTTAACTAATCAAGAAAATCATATAATCTGAGAATGAAAAATCAAAATATGATAGCAATCTTGTTCACGAACCTACTATCAATGCATATCCACCACGACCTATCATTTTTTGGGGACAATCAAAGTTAGTATGCCACATGAACTGATGCTCTAAATACCTCTCCCCAAGCCATTAGAACCTCAAGCAGCTTTTATAGCACCTCATACTCTGATAGCCACATTTAATAGGTTGATCGATGAAGGGGCAATGAACCTAGGATGAGGTTTATAGCATGTTGAATCTCTTGTAAGGTGATAATTGAGGTGGCAAGCTATCAATCTAAATATTTTGAAGCTCTTTATATAAGGGTCGTACTACCTCATGTCTCACTGTTCTCAAACAGCACCAAGTTTTAGTCCTACTAACATCTCTTTTTTATGGCCTATAAAAATATAGCACAAGGAAATATAACTCTCAAGTCTGAGCTCATTATTGATTGCTCCTTCAATGACCGAAATACAATAAGCTTCTCATCTTTGATAAATGAATACGTATTTTTACGGGCATCATAAATTGGATCCCTATCATATTATCAAAGTTGCCTAAAAGAATGCGACACAAATCAAATAAGCACGATTCACATCACCTGATCATGCAACTTATCTCCAATTAAAAGTCTACAACAACTCTTGTTGACAATAATATTATCCTCCTCCTTCAAACAAATCAGGAAATATTAAAGCAATATTTTTGCATAACAAGGCTCAATTTATCCACTATTTGTGTGATACTATATTCACACAACTGCCTTCTTCAATAGTGAGAAAACATGCCTTCCCTTTCACAATACAACAAGAAAGATGTTATATGTAAACCAGTGATGATCTCTCTTGGACTCAATATTAAGACTCATCAAACCACAAGCATCTCATCATCATATATATGTAATGGGTACTCCTCTCCACTCTTCTCCTCCTCCCCTCAGTTTTTATTGGTTGTTTCTTTCACTACACCCAACTCAGTAAATGAAATGACTCCTGTTTGAGCAGTTGGATGCAGTTTTTCCATATAAATGACACTTTAAGCATTTCCTGCTGGAAAGAATTTTAAGGGTATTGGCCCAAGTAGTCATCTTTTTCCTTCTATAATGACTCGCTTCACAGGAGATAGAACTTGGCCCTATGGTTGGTATCTTGCTATCTGATCCGATGGTTGAATCCTCTCTGAAGGGTAGTATGGACATGATATTATTGTGATGTATCTTCATCTTCATGGCTAAGGTTTGGACATCCTATAACGTCCAATTGGGCTATAACTACACCACCTTGTCAATGAACAGTCTCAATCCTCCAAGATACTAAGCTATAATATTTTCCTCGAGTTCACCAACTCACTTTTCATTATAAATTTTTCAAACTCGAAGGTGTACTGCTTTACTTGAAACTCTTTTTGTAATCAGTGTTAAAGTCTCAAAAACATACCGTGTTTGTAATGTGTTGGCAAATACTTGTGTTGCATTTCATTTTTCATCTAGGACAAAATTATGGTCTTACTTTTTCATCATACTGACACAGGCGCTTCAAGTTCTCCCACCACAAGAGAGAACTCTTATTTAATTTGATGGCATCTGACTTCACTTTCTTATCATGTGAAATGTATTTATAATCAAAGACTTATTCTAGTATTGAAAGCCACTCAATAAATTCGTCTGGATCCATGTCATCATCAAAATCAGCATCAAAATTCGGCAAATCAACATTCGATCCAAAACCATCTCTCCTATAATGGCAATTTGACACAAAATTAGCTCTTTGTCGCTTAAGGCCACTTGGTGACAATGGGTTTTTTACTTTTCTATTTGAGTGGTCACCATTGTTGTTGCGATGGCTTTCCCAATGTTACCACATTTCAAAATCAATGAGCCTTAATTATAATTGGAGGATTTTTTGCTACATATCTTCCAAGGTAAAGTATTAAACACCCTTTTGAGAATTTCACCATGATGGCATGTTAGATCTCCTCACTTTAGAGTTACGGTGAAGGTGAAATTTTTTAGGTTTCTTGGTGACAAGGGACTTTTCTTCTCCATATGGGTGGCCACCATTGTTGTTGTGGGTGGTTTCCCTATGTTATTTCATTTCCAAATCAGTGTGCCTCCATTGCATGTGGAAGATTTCGAGCAATATATCTTCAATGGTAAGGTCTTGAACACCCGTATAAGAATTTCTCCTAGGCGACATGATAAATCTCCTCACTTTAAGGTTTCGGTGATGGTGAAAATTTTGGAACGAGGGTTAGATGAAAGCTTATGGTTAAGAATGTAGGGATGGTTTTGGCGGAGGTATTTTGTTATGTAGAGATAGGCTTCAAAATGGAAAAATAAAGAAAAAAATCACTAAATATTTAGGGTTTGACAGAATCTAACACCAAATGATATCGATCTAAGATTCCTAGAAAGTGTTGTGAAATCGGATTTAGTGGGGAGAAAAAGTACAAAGGCAAAAGAAAGAGAATATGTGAAATCAATGGAGTTTGAAAGGAAGTTGAAATTGTTTGACTGGTGTTCGATCTAAAAATAGTGAAGCGAACAACAAAAAGGCAAGATAAAGATGATGGGGAGAGTCCATCACCGGTTCTCTTCAAGAAACGAATTCACCAATTGACAAAAATTGTGCTACAACACTCCAAATTGAGGAAAGGATGGGAAAAAAATTTTGAACTAACATAAACCAAAAATAAAATTCCCAAAACAAAGAAATAACAACATATAAATATTTATTCAACCAAAGATATCCATAATTCAAATTTAAATAATATAAAAATTAAGATCCACATGGTTCGTGGCTCCGATAGGTGGGAGAATCCCGCTACAAGGATATCATGTGAATGAAGTACATTCTCACTCTCTTGTGTGCTCGGAAAATAACAGGATCCCACACCATCACAAGACAATAACTATATATTCTCAATTTCAACTCTCACAAATACCTCAGGTTCAAGTACTATTATTCTCAACTCCCTCTCTCATGCTCATTCCCTACCGCCAATGTGAGGGCAGAAGTGTCTTTAAAATTAGGAAAGCTAGGACAATTAACAAAATGTAACATAAAAGAACTATCTCAGACAAAAAGTTTGACTCGACAAAGATGCTAACAATGGTACAAATTATGGTATAGTTTTCTCTGAACTGAAGCTAATTTGACTGAAATAACTTATTTCAGATGATCTAATTGAATCAAAAACATAAGATGCTTGGTCTTAGTACAAATAGTAAATAGAAACGTTTTATTTTCATTTACAAAATAGAAATGTTAGGACTACAAATGATGGTATAGCGGTGTCCATAAAGAAACTAATTAAATAAAAATAAAATCTCATCAAGGGTCAAGCGTACGATGAAAAAAAAAATTAGCCAACCTTTGTGTCGGTAGGGGAATGAATGTGAAACACTGTGTGATGAAAATCTGTGTATGCATTAGACCTTGCTCCAGTTCCAAGAAGCTTCTCCCGTTTTTTACTCCCTAGAAATGCCACATGTTCAATCATATGGGCAATTCCCTGCTCATCATCTTCTTCGTCAATTGATCCAACGTGAACTTCCATATGTGCCTCAAACCTTAAGAAAATTAAAATTAATATAAGTAATGAATCACAAATCGTAAATTTTGCAATTCATAGTGCCTTGAAGAACAACCAAAGAAAAGAAAATTTTAAATATAACATGAATGTTAGATAAATAAATCAATAGTCCTACACAAATTAAAAAAAGTGGTTCTTTATTTAGAACATCAACATCACTCAAGTGATCATTTTCATCATCATTAACATTATCCTAATTATTGAGATCAACTTTGTGAATCTTCCTTTTCTATTCTTTCTTCTGAGTGATGCATGGGATGTTAAATCTATTTTAAATAACTTTGAACTTCTATCTATGTAAATTTAGATCAACCCCTTTCATTACCAACCTCTGGCATTATTATTATACAATCAATTAACAGATGTATTTTTTCACCCTTTATTGTCTATGTCCAAATCACGTTACCTTATCTTTACTAAATGTCATTCTAGCTAATCTTATATTCTGACCATTCATTAATTTATCCATCTTATAGTTGCCAATATCTATATTAACAATTATATTTCTATTATGCTCACTTACATATCAAAAAAAGTTTTATTGTTCAACATTGAAAACGATTCAGTATTATCTATATTAACAGTCTTATTTCTATCATGCTCATATTACATATCATTAAAAGTTTTATTGTCCGAGATTGAAAACGGTTCAATATCCTCGGCCTTACTACAATTTTATAGAATTCAACCCTTCCCTTCCAATATCTTCTTAGCACATAATATTCATGAGATGTTTCGTCATTTTAACTATCAAGCTTTAACACTATTAATCACATCCTCATCTATATTTTAATTATTATTATAAAAGATAGAGTATTTAAATCGATCAATTCTAGATAACAACTTTGTCTTTATTCTAATAATTCTACTAGTGATGCCTAGGATGTTAATTTTATTTTAAATTATTTGGAACTTCTATCTATGTAAATTTAGATCTACTAATCCTCATTCTCAATCCTCTGCCATTATGATTATCTACTCATTTAATACATATATCTTTTACCCTTTGTTATATATGTCCAAATCACCTTACCATATCTTTATTAAATGTCACTCCAACTATTTCTTATATTATGGCCATTCATTAATTGATCTAATATTTTCTAGCATATATTTTCACAGTCTCATCTTTATAATGCTCAACTTAAATATCAATAAAATTTTAGTTGTTCAACATTGAAAACCATTCAGTATCTTCGGAAGCCTTATTATAGTTCTATAAAAGTCAACTCTTTGCTCTCAACATCTTCATCGTGCATAATATGAACGAGACATTTCTCCATTTTAACTATTAAGCTTTAACTCATTTAATTATGTCCTCATCTATACCTCATTTCTCCATATAAAAGGTCCAGTCAAATCTAGGCATCATCTTATTTTTTTACTCAGGCTTATATAAGGATTGCAACCATTATGTATGGGTAGTGATAGACCAAATGTGTGTAACGCAAGTCATTTAAAGAGTGTCATCACAAGAATAATAAGTGAAATGAAAAAATGTTCAAAATATCACACTATTAACTGATATTTATCATGTGAGAACAAAACAAAAGCACAAGTGATAACAAAAAACATTAATATCACTTTATTTCTTTTATCCTAGCATGAACCATACAGTGTTAAATATAGTTACTGTAATAATTGAAAAATAAAAAAAATTTAATGTGTAAATGTCTTTTTAGAAAAGGATAACCGTCAGATAGTTTTGCAATTAGGAGAAAAACGTCTCATTCAAAAATAGACGACAAGAAGGAGCGAGAGAGAGAGATAGCAGAGAGCAAGGAGGAAGAGGAGATGAGGGAGTACGGCGATGACACTTACGATCGAAGCCAAAGGCGACGAAACAAAGCATTGGAGCAAAAATGATGGGTAGCTCATGCATGTGACTTGACTGCAACAACGAGAGTCGCAGCAGTGTCGAGCACGCACTCAGTCAAGGTAGAGTCGGTGCAAGCGGGGTTTGCAGTGTACAAGAACCTTAAGGAAGGAGACACTTTCGGCTTATGAAACAAGTCAGACTGGTGAAGTAGAGTTATATCGAGCTGAACCAAAGAGAAGAGTAGCCATGCCCCAGTCTCGAAAAAGAAGAAGAGAGAAGGAAACGCTTGTGTATCCTATGCACGAGCAAAGGAAGAAATAAGGAAGGTAGAAGCGTCGTGCATGGAAGACTGAACCAAACGACTCCTGTGTGTGGAATGAAAAGAAGAAAACTTACGTGCAAATAATCGAACTGACCCACATGTGATAAGAATGCGGAGCCTAGAGTGCAATTTTTTGAGTGTGAAGAACCAAACTGAGCTCAAGCAAGAAGAGTTGTGTTTTGGGGCTAGTTGTTGAGTTGAGGTGATTTTAATTATGCTTTCAATTGTAATTTCTAAACATTTATCTATAACTATTAAATAATTGAATAGGTTTTTGTATGAAATTAAGATTTATAATGAGAATCACATGGAAAATCTGAAGGAATGAATTTGAAAAATTTTAAAAAAATACGTATTGATAATAATTAAAACAAACCATGATTATAATCATAAAAATAGCAATAACTGTAATATTTTTAATTAAAAGTAAAGACTATAGTTAGCAAAGTTAAATTATGAATTAAAAAATAAAATGAAATAGGATGCAGACATAATAAAGAGAAAAAAATGAAGATGTAGAAGTTATACAATTAATAATTAAACTAAATAATATGTTAAATTACAATAAGTAATTAAGTTAACAATAGATATGAATTATTCAACCATAATTAAATTTATCAACACAAATACTTCTTATATTAGGTATTTCAAGCGGAGTTCATCTTAAGGGTAAAAAGTGGAGAGCATCGAGATGAGCACTCATGTTCTTATGCTATATTAATCTTTTTAATTTTTCTAGATTAAATATATTTATTGTTATTGTTACTTTGGTACTAGCAGAGAAACGTTAGAGTGCTCAGCATCGTTTAAATTATCATAGATATTTAATGTTATACAAATAAGAATGAAATGATTGTTATAATACATTTGTATGTGCATAATTGATTATGATGGAGTTCCCTCATTTATGGTACTAACAGAGAAAAGCTATGGTATTCATGCATGTAATTGGAAAAGCATATTGATATTGATGTACCTTAACTAGTATAATTTTAGATGTTGCTCATCTGACACTTGAATATAAAATGATAGATATGGAAATGATATAGTATGAGAATAAAAGTTTTAAAATATTTTGATCAAACATATTCATAAATATAAATTGTCAAATGTTATTATAATGGTTTACAAAAAATTTAATAGATATGCATATCATTTTCCGATTCATTTTGTTATTATAATTTAGGAATACATGTATTTATCAGTTATGATTAGCACACTGTTGTTTTAAAAAAACATTTAGATTTAATCATTTAATTAAAAAATGAGTAATAAAAGAAGAAACATTTATAGAAGACGTGAACAATCTGAACTAAGATAAATTTAATTGCATTACTTTAATTTACTTTCTTTAGTAGATCTTTCATTCCATTTGCATTATAAATTATTAGTTATGGAAAATAAAAATAAAAAAATTTTGATTTCCACTTTCCGAGCACCCATTCCCAGCTTAGTTAATTCCAAGCCCCCGGCTGGGTAATGATAGTTACCTTCGGTTAACCATATATTAGTTTACGAATAAAACAATGGTATTATACTAATTATCTAAGTAGAAAATAGTTTTATCAGAAAAGCTAACTAGAGAATAGACATTATAACAATTGAAAATTATCCTAAAGGAAACATCCAAGCAATCCAGTAAACATATTTTAAGACTATGTAACATCTATCTCATATAAATTAAATTGTAAGAGAGATACAGACAAAATACATTGGTCAAAAAATCTGTTGGGCCTTGATGTACTATGACAACAAAATACACAATCACTAAACCCAGGAATCTTTCCAAAGTTATTTGCAATACCTGTTTGCAGGAACCTTATTAGGCAGAATAAGATAGCGGAGACCATTTTTTAGTTGTCCTCTGTGGAGCTTTGGATGTGAAGGAAGTGGTGAATTAAGGAAACTTTCAAGTTCTTCCTTCTGAGCTTCAGGATCCCAAAAGCCCAAAGCTTGTTTCTCAAAGATTGTCTCAGAGCATGAAGTGCTGGCAACATGGGGTTCATCAGGACCTAAAGTTGCAGAGGGAATATGTGCTGGTCTTCCCTAGAAACATTAAATTCAACATACACATTATGCTTGAATTCAGTTATGAAATTACAAGTAAAGGTACAACAAGCTAGCAGGATATTGATGTGAATCAATAGGATAGTTTTTTTCTTCAGTTATTGACAAAATCACGCAATGCAGGATCACAAAGACATCAGAGAAAAGTGCTCACACGGAGGCTATTATCATTGAAATGAACAAAAATGGAAGGATTTATCATGAGCTTCCAGCTGATGAATGACAAGAAGGTAAAATGAAAGGAAGTAAATAATTCAATTAAACTAAGACAGCTACATATGAAGGCAGTTATCATGTCTAGCTAATGGCGCCCAAAATGATGGCGGTGTCACTTGCACTATGGTTAGTACAGTAGCATTAATACTATGCTTCTAATGTGTTTATATGAAGTTCTAGCATAAAAATATTAATCCATCCGTAAATTAATACATATGCTCATAAAGTAATACAAAAAGTGTTTGCACAAAATCAAGATTTTTAAAGCACATTTTTCATACAAATAAAAAATGTGCTACAAAAAGTTCAAAAATAAATGAACAGAACAAATGAAGCCTTAGCATTTCTGGAAATATCACCCCAACGTCAAAAATTGCAAGCTTTGGGATAGGAAAAGTTTAAACTTACATTGCTGAAAACTGCATGCTTTGGGATAGGAAAAGTTGATTTGTTCATAAATACACCCAAATTGTGCATTTTAATGTGGCCAGCAAACTTATAGCGGGTGCGATAGTGGGTTAGACAGCATAGCTTCCTTGATAAAACTCTGGTTACATCCTCTTCATTAAAGTTGTGAATGTGAGGCTTCCATGTGCTTCCTAGACATGAATTTCCTTTCTTTGTCTCCTTCAAACCAAAATGCTGGACCCTACTAGCATGAAAAAGATAGATAAAGCTTTTATCCATATCAGTTTTTTTAGTCTAGCATACATAGAACAAGAATACAAAACAAAAATAAGAAAATTTTACATACAATAACCGAGAAGGGAAAACACAAGAACCAAATAAAATAAAAATGAAGCATTGGTTTTACAAAATTTTGGACACAGGAAACATGATGCTTGATGGAAAAGTATTACTATTTTCTCCCTCGCTCGAGCAACTGTCCAAAAGATGGCAAACAAATAATAATATGATTGCACCTACTGTCCAAACAACCAAATAGCTCCTAGAGTTTATAAGCAAATCAAAAAAAGTTATGAGCGCATATATAGCTCACAAAGCAAACCTTTTACATGGATGATGAAACCGCAAATGCATTAACTGTTGACTCTGGAAGTAAAGATTAAAAAGACACTAAACTTATTTGTAAGACAAATTTTTCAGACCAAACATGCATAAACATAAAGCATATAAAGCAAAAAGGTAGCTGCCAAAGGTGGCAACAGACCTTGGATTTCAAATGGTAAATACCAAGTAAATAAACAAAAGAACATTAACTCAAGCATCTCACTAAAGGGCATACTAGGTCATTAGTGTAAATATAAGGAGTCAAAGTAAGAGAGTTATCAAACACTGTTGGTAAAAAGAGTAAGCTCAAATGAAGACATGCTAATAAAAAAAAAATTCTAAAAGTAGTTTAAAAAAATAATCAAAAAAATTTCATGCAAAACCATTAACTAAAAAGTGGGAGAAATGTTTAATAGTTTCATCAAGATGAAATTTACAAACACATTATATAGGAACATATAGCAAGTAAGAAAATATACCAAACACTCATTAACTTATAAGAAAATCAAAAAGAACACATAGTTGGATTCAAAGTTGTTCATGGTGACACCAAGATTTTACTATAAGTAAAGATGGAGCCTAAGAAAGAAAGTGAGAGACAGGATTTAGATATTTTGTATAAATAGTTAGGGTTTCTAGAGGACCCTATTGACCATTAGAGTACCAAAAAAAAAGAGTCAAAACTAGCCAAGTGGGAACAAAGAGAAAATATGAGCTTTTAGTTGAATAGTATTGACTAAAAAGTGCAATATAATGTCATGCCACGATCTGTAACTAAAAAGTGCAATATAATGTCATGTTTAAGCTCGATGGTACAAGATAATTTAAAAAAAATACATAAAAAAGAGTCAATACAACGAGTAGCCTAGTCGCATAATGGGAAAGTCTAGCGAAGTAATTCCCAATAAGTGAGAACTCAAGGCAAGTAACCTAAATAAGTATGATTTCCCTTTTAAGGGTTCTCTTGGCTAGATGATATGGCTGGTTTTGTTAATGAAAACCCTTAAGTACTTTGGACGAGTATTGAAGTACTACGAAAGAGTAGCATGTTGAATTGCCTTAGGACGAGTACTGAGCCCGTTCACAATAAACGGTTTGTTGAACCAAGTTCAAGCTTACATGGACACTTAATCAACCTTGCCAAGCTGAATATGGGTGTGCATAGATAACTATGAACTAATTGATAAACAAATCATTAAAAATTTAATTTGATTTAGCATATTTATTGATAGAGCAAATCTTATCATAGTCATTATCATCAGTTTTACCCTATCACTATTTTAAGCTGGATTGATGAATCTTTCTTTATTAAACCACACAAAACATACATTTACAGTTAGCTCCAAACTGAAATAAACCTATTGCGTAAGATGCATGCCCGCATGAAATGTGGCTAAAGCATAGTCAACTGGTACCGAGCAAAAGGCAACAAAAAGCAGTGCAATAGGCAATTTCTGAACCGCAGGCATTGCCCATAATTTCATGTTCTAACTCCTATTATCTATCAATGGTAGAACAAAACTAAATATCCAAACTTAAAAGCAGGAGGTCTAAAAGCTAAGTACAGTTTTACAAGTGCCTCTTCCACACGAACTACATACATGAAAACCTTAACACATTGAAATTCTAAAATCAAACAGCACTCCAAGCACCTCAAGTTTTCTTTTCCACAGATGTAAGAAAAACAACTATTGATTCGAATTTCAGAAAAGTAAAGACGAGCGATCAAACTAAATAGTTTAGGAAAGTGTACCGGAGCTCATGATGAAGGAGCCGGCGGCAAGCCCGATGCCCTGGAAAGGACCGGGGTATGATGAGGTTTGTGCCGGAGTAGGATGAGCAGCGATCGTTGGCCCTCGGGCTCGCATAACAGTGGTGAGGAGCTGCTGCCACAAGTGAAGACGACGCCATACCTCACCGGCCCGAGAGGGGATAGAAAATACGAGTAGTGACGGGAGATTGCAAGGTGAGAAATTGCCTCCGTGGCTCTGGAACGAAGGGGAAGGGGAAATATATGGGGAGCCAACGTACTGCAACATTCGGAGTCCTACTATCAATTTATCCATTAAGTTATTTTTTGCGGCTAGTATTGGTTAATTGTTGGTATATTTATGGGTTAATTATGGGTTATTCTTGGGCTACTAATCAGCTAACCTAGCCGGTTATTTGTTTTTCTAAGAGTTAATGTGAATTATTCTTAGGTTATTTGTGGGATATTATTGGGTTATTATTTGGTTATGTATGAGTTAATGTCGCATTAGGGCCTGGTTTTGTGGGAGTTATTCTCGGAATAATATTTGGTTAGCGAGGGTTTATTGAGGAGTTTATTATTATGTTATTCTTGGATTATTGTGGGGTTATTTTGTTGTTTATTTTGGTTTAGGGGTTTCGTGAAAGTTATTCTCCAGCTAGTGTTAGGTTAATCGAAGGTTTACAATTGTGTATATTTTAGGTTATTTGTAGGTTATTGTAGGCTTGTTGGTGGGGTTTTTACTGGGTTATTGTAGTCTTATAATTGGTTTATTTCTGCGTTACTTTTGGTTTGTTCTAGGATTTAATCTACGGTTATTTGAGGGCTATATCATGGTTATTTAACAATTATTGAGGAAGATTATCTAAAGAAGTGTTTTGAAAATTTTGATGTTGTTAATGTTAATAAATTCTTTCTTACTCATGTAGGTTGATGAACAAGAAGGGAATGAATTGCAGTGAATTGCAGATGTCGTCCTTCGACAATTAGAGATGTGCTAGAGAAGGTTCGGCCCAGTGTTTCCAAAGAGACCTGAAGAAGACTGAGAGAATTGAATGTCCGTCAATTTTTTAAGCTCCCCCCATATCCTCAAGATCATATCCTTACTATGCAAACTTTGAATTGTTGGGATATTGATCATGTGCTATTCAGATTAGGCGGGAAGGAGATGAGTTTTGATGCAGATCAAGTTGCTTTATTGATTGGCATGCCCAACACATGATCAATAGCAAGCTAGAAAAAACAACCTATCAGTGGTATGGATGCCAGGAAGACGAAGAGTGAACTAGTTAATGTGTCACTTGGAGTGTCTTCTAGTGTAATCGATGAGTTTTATTATGTTTTTTTTGTCAAATTTATTTTTTCCTTCCAGCAATTTTGGTGTGGTCGAATGGGTTTTATTCATTTGCTGAGAATTTAGATTCTTTTGTTTCATTTAATTGGCCTGCAACTATATGTGAATTCCTCATTGAGTAAGTCAATGCATGCACCATTAAAATAAAGATGGGCCAACCATTGGGTTACCTAAATGGATTTGTTTTCCTCCTAACGGTTACTGTATTATCTATCTTTCTAAAAATTTATTCATTCTTGTATCGTCATATCATAATATTGATTTATCTGTTTTTTCGCAACTGTAGTTTTATTAGTGCAAAGCTTTGATAGTCCCTGTTGTTCCTGAGGCCAGGCCTCGCATGTTGAGGTGGCCAATAAATATTGGTTGGAACCCTGCGAAGATACATCTAGCATTTCAGAGGCTCAACGCTTCATAGGTTAGTAATTTAACATTTTGTTTAGAGTTATGTTATGTACTACTTGTTTAGTTGTATTTGCAATTGGACACTACTTGTTGGGGATTTGAAAAACCGCAAATGGAAATTGTATGGCTCCTTACCCAGAAAAATGCATCTATCGATTGCCCATGATGTCGTAAGATAATTTTAGCAATAATAATCTTTTGTGAACATTTGTTACACGTTATATTTGATGCAACACTTTAATGATAATTTTAAAATTACAGATTAATCAGCTGGTCAAGGATGCAGGGGGAGCTTTTAGAAGTAACCTGTTGAAATGGCCAGTATCTATGATGAAAGGTTAACCGCCCAAACAAATAGCGTTGATTGTGGTGTGTTCGTATGTAAATACATCAAAACACTTGTACAAATACACACAACCGATTGGAAGGATCATCTCGGATGGTAGGATCATATGCCATTTTTCAGAGTTGAAATACGAAATGTGTAAAATGTGATGAGTAAACTATAAATGTAATCATAACATTCTTTTGTGATATTGTCATTATTTTAAAGAGTTTGTGGGCCTCTAAGATAACGCAATTTTTTCTGGGCTATTGTGGGGTTATAGCAGAGTTTTATCTTGAAAATCAACAGATAGTGTTCATTCTGCAATCCGCAAAACGACTTAAATAACCCATAAATAAACAGACCATTTTGCAACAATAATGTCACGCTTGCGGGGTATCTTGGGGATATCGCGGAGTTATTGTGGACTTATTATGGGCTTATTAATGACTTATGTGAGAGATTTTAACGGGTTTGGCTTATTGCGAGATTATTGCGGGCTTATTACGGGATTAATGTGGGCTTACTGCGGGATGATGGGGGCATATTACAAAAATATTGCGAGACTATTCTGGGCTTATTATTTGATTATTGTGGGCTTATTATGGGCTTATTAAGTTATTGTGGCTTTATTATGAGATTATTCTGGGATTGTTATGGGAATATTGCAACCTTACTGTGGGCTTCTTGCAACCTTTTTGCGGGATTTCTGCGAGATTATTTTGAACTTATTGTTGGCTTATTGCAGCCTTATTATGGGATTTTTGCGAGATTTGTTGGAGCATATTGTTGCTTTTTTTACGAGATTATTGAGGCCTTATTGTGGGATTTTTGTGGGATTTGTTAGGGCTTATTGCGAGCTTATTGTGGGATTATTACATGCTTATTGTGGGATACTCTGGATCAAATATGTTAAAAAAAAATTAAGATAACCAGAACAAATGTAACACAGTATCCCGTAATCTTACCGACAAAATATTACATATTTTAAACATATCTTTACATTCATCTACATTATGAAATGCCTTAAATTTCATGATTACGACGTTCAAGGTATTCAGTGTCTAATATATACAAAAATATTTCATTTTCAATGAAGAAATCTCAAGAAATACAAAGATACATGATAAAATATTAATGCATGCTTTGCAAGAAGGATAATGTGGATGCAAATTTGAGCTACTATGGAAACGTGTTCCAATAAATAATGAAAAGAGTGTTCTTTGTGGTGAGCTTGTGGGCCTCATAAAAATCTCATGAGATAGGCATTAACCCGACATTGGAAAAATTTGTGGATATTGTGAAAGATAAACTTAAGAAGGTTAAATGCAAACCAAGTGACCCAGAACCCGAGTCTTAACTCCAGAACTAACACAGACAATTGATGCAGAAATCCAACATGGTATTTCTCAAATTATAAATTCTAGTTTCAATAATGAAATCTCAAACACTACATCCATATGGGTAAACCCTTAAATACATGCTTTGAAAAAATAAAAATCACATATCCTTCTTGCAAATGTATTAAGTTTTTAGTCGTATGGATGTGGTGCTTGAAATTTCATTATGGGAAATGAAATTTATTATTCGAGAAAGACCATATTGGATCTCTGCATCAAATTTTTGCATTATTTGTGAAGTGTATGATTTAAGTACTATGTCACTTGGTTTGCATTTAACCCTCTTAAGTTCATCTTTCACAATATCCACAAATTTTTCCAATATCGGGTTAACACCTGCCTCATGAGATTTTTATGAGGCCCACAAGCTCACCACGAAGAACACTCTTTTTGCTATTTACTGGACCACATAATAGTTCAAATTTTCATCCACTTTCTCCTTCTTGCAAAACATGTATCAATGTTAGATCTCTCAGTTGTTGAGATCTCAATGATGGAGTGCATCAGCAGTTCGGTGTACGTTGGTTTTGGTGTGACATGTTCCTGTTGCAGAAAGCAAGTAGACGTCAGTGAAAATATGTCAATAACTACATTACTCTGTCTTAATTCATCTTTGGAGCCTCTGGCGCCAGCCTACTGAAGTTCGTGCTGTTCTCTAGATGTTGGCACCTCTGGCGCCAATTCTAGTGCTTCTGGTACCACTTCTCTGTAAAATGGTACCTCTGGCACCAGCTCTCTAGAAAATGGCTCTTCTTGCACCAGGATGTTGAAATGTTTCATTTTGACTCCAAATTTATTCCTTTTTGCTCATTTTTGCTCCAAATGCCTAAAATCAATATACCTACAACAAAACATGAAATTACCCTTCTTTAAAGTGAAATATCACCAAACTCAAGCATAAAATGAATACATAAAATTGCACATTATTTTGGTGTATCAAAATCCCCCAAACTTAAATGTTACTTGTCCTCAAGTGGCTCTTTTACTACATAAAAATATGACTTATGACAGATATTAACTTATAAGCTTCTATATTTTGGTTTAATAAATATAATAGTATAACTTGAGAAAAAACTTTTAATAACTTAGGTTAAAACTAAGAGTATAAGAACACCTAGTAATCAAATCTAAGATTTCTGAATCTCCATTAATTTCAAGAAGAATTGTAATTTGTCATATCAAAGATACATAGAATGTCCATATGAAAAAGAATTTCTTGAAAACTTTATTAGTAAGGATGTTAATGCTCAAATACAAGTTTAGAAAATATAATAAAGCATTTTTCCTCAAGTTGATTCAAGTGAAGCCAATTTTTTATTAGGCATCTACTCAAGCTTCTCCTCACATATTTTCTTTTCTTCTCCTTCTCTTTTTTTTCTTTTCTTTAGGATCATTTTCAATCATTTCTTTTCTTTTTCAAGTGAGGATCAAGTGAGGATTATTATATCAAGTGAGGATTATTATATCTGGATAGTCTTTAATAATTTATACTTCACTATCCCTTCCTTGTAGTTAAACTTCTTATATTCCTTCACTTTATAAAGTCATATTAGCTTTGAAGATTTTTCATAAAGTTCGTTTTTTTCTTCTTATATGAAACTCTAAGATTTTTAATACTTCAAAAATACAATTTCCTTTACTTTAAATAAAAAAATATAGTCATATTCTTTCATACTAAATCTTTCATACTAAATATCTTAACTCTTTCATACTAAATATCTTAACTCTAGAATTGGCCTTCATTATTAAAGATTTTTGCTTAAATTTACCTGACTCCACTAAATTTACCATA